CACATGTAACTGAAATATAGTAAAACTTACTCACATGCTTTAGGGTTTCCTCTCTAAACACTATTAGGAGTTTTAGATTTTGGTGAACAAGCTGCCTTAGGTATTAAAAAGTAGGAAAATTCCTATTTATGATATGTAGTCATATGCTAATGATTCAAGCCCGTATTCTCACATATTTAAAAACATTAGGTTTTAAAAGACCAATTGGCTTGTAGTTCACTTAAAATATATTTATTTATGTCACCCGGAGGCTCTGATTAAAAACAAATAAATTACATTGTTAGGATGGTATATGAAGCCAGGCATAGTGTCATGTACTTGTAGTCCCAGCTACTCAGGAGGCTGAGGTGAGAGGACTGCTTACTTGAGCCCAGGGGTTCCAGCCTAGCCTGTGCAGCATAGGAAGATCTTTCTCTTAAAAAAGAAAAAAAAAGATGGTATACCAGTGCTTGCAATTCAGTACAAAAATCTCAGGTCAGAGACTAGTCACTAGAGAATGACTCAGTAAAATGTTATGAGAAAGGATTGGGGCTTCTAATGTATTACTTATATCTTAGACTATAAATGGCAAATATCAGAACTTGAGCATTTTTAGGTTGTGTGACAGTATGTATTACCAACACCATATCTTTCCTAAGCTTCTGCCAGTTCTTTCATTTTGTCTCATTTCTAGAACATACACAGCAGACTTTTATGTTTAAACTTGAACAACTCTGCCTGGACAGTATAGCAGATTCACGAGCAACACATTTCCTAGAAAAAGAATCTCTAACTTCTATCCTTAATATGCCCCTGCCAGTATACTTTTGCCTGTGAATACCTATGTGGAGGGGAAGTTAAACTCCATTTAACTGAAGGTACTTTGAGGTCTCAGGAGGTTTTGATGAGCATTTAAAACTTTAATTTTACAGGCCGGGCATGATGGCTCAAACCTGTAATCCCAGCATTTTAGGAGGCTGAGGCAGGCGGATCACCTGAGCTCAGGAGTTTGAGACCAGCCTGGGCAACACAGTGAAACCATGCCTCTTCTAAAAATACAAAATTAGCTGGGTGTGGTGGTGCACGCCTGTAGTCCCAGCTACTAGGGAGGCTGAGTTAGGAGGATCGCTTGAGCCCAGGAGGCAGAGGTTGCAGTGAGTCAAGATCGTGTCATTGCGCTGCAACCTGGGTGACGGAGTGAGATACTATCTCAAAGAAACAAAAACAGAAATCCTTTAATTTTATTGATGCATGTTTCAAAGATGACTTATTCTAAATATCATAAGGCTCAGAAAAGTAAAAGTTACTGGAAATCAAAGAATCGTTTTCTTTGAGGAAATTTCCACCAGATTTTTATGCAGCATAATTGTGCTCAATTAATACATCTTAAGAATTTGGTCCCATATCATTTAAAAGGCATACCATATACATAATGATATTTATGAAGAATTAAAATATTAACCAGAAATACTATTTTCATTTATTGAATATCTATTATGTTTCAGAATGTATTAAGTGCTTTAAATACCTTGTCTCATTAAATTTATTGCAGACAGTAAGACTGCATAAAGACCGCATGTTAGGAAATAAGTCTTCATACTGTATAGAAATGAAAACTGAGGCTCAAAGAAGCAATTTGTCAACATAAATGGCTAAATTATGAATAAAATCCACATCAATTTGACTTTAAAATCTATTATCCTAACTACTATGGTACAGTGTTTTCCAAATAATTTTTTTTTTTTTTCAAAATTTACTTTAGTCTTTTCACTGTTTTGCTGGGGTGTTTTTCCCCTTTAACTAGTGATATTTTGGCAAATACAGACTAGAAAGTCAAAACTTACAATCTTATTAAGGAAAGAACTTGCATTGTTTTTTAGTTTATATGCAAGTAACACTATATAATTTGCTTTATGGGATATAGATCCTTTTCTTGTGCATAACTCACTTGATCTCAAATTAAGGCGATTTTAAAGAGGCGGAGACTGAGGCTCAGGGAAGTTAAATGGGATTTGGCTGTGGTCAGACAAACATTAAGTGTTGGAGCTGAGTTTTGAAATTTGGTTTTTTGACTTTCAAGTACAATAGTCCATCTTCTTGGTAAAGGTACAGAGGCAATGTAAGTGTGAGAACAGCTAGTGTTTGAGTGCTTTGCTTAACACGATTTGCAGCTTCTAAAAAATATGCCAACCATAAAATTCCTGGTAAAGGAGCTTGAGGTAGCCACACAGCATGACCTTCATAGTGTATGTGGAAGGGGCTGCCCCTCCCGAGGTGGCTGAGCAGAACTCTGGCCTCACCCAGGCTTCAGACAAGGAAAGATGTTATTGAGCCTGTGACCTGGCATTTCACCATGAAATTATCTTTCTGGAGTACTCAATTTAATTAGTAGGAAGAAGACTTCCTGATCTTTTCTTTTCTGCTCAAAACATTGTTTGAATCATCTATGATAACAGAAGATATTAACATTGCATGTTGACTTTCTTTTCCAAAAGTTAGAACAAATCAGGCATGGTCTGTTAACTACAGTAGACAGACTTATCCATGGTTTCACTTTTTGAGGTTTCCATTACCTGTGGTCAGCCACAGTCTGAAAATTGGTGAGTACAGTACAATAAGATATTTTTAAGAGAAAGAGAGGCCACATTCACATAACTCCTATTATACTATGTTATAACTGTTCTATTTTATCTTTAGCTATTGTTGTTAATCTCTTACTGTGCCAAATTTATAAATTAAACTGTGTCATAGGTGTATATGCATAGGAAAAGACATAGTACATACAGGCTTCAGTGCTATTCACCATTTCAAACATGCACTGAGGATTTTGGAACTGTGGGTGGAAGGACAACTGTACAAAAACAATTAGCATGTTCTATGGCAGTGAGACTCCTGATTTTATATAAAGCTGTATCCTTTTTTGTCATTTTGTTTTGTCTTTTTACAAAGAGAGTAGGTGTGGTCTCTCCTACTTTGCTGTCCTATTGAAAACTAGGGATGGATTCATTAATTTGATAATTAACTGCCTACTGGTTGCCAGGCACTGTTCTACGTGCTTGGGATACAGCAATGAACAAAACAGAAAACATTCACTGCCCTCAATGAGGATATATTCTAGCATGAGGAAAGACAATAAACATTAAAGCATCAGGTAGCGAAAAGTGCTGAGGTCAGGCTAAACAATGACAGAGAGCACATTTTTTCTGGGGGGTCACGTGTAACTTACTGTTCATTATTCCACAGTAGCTTGATGGTGAAAACAAGTTCTGCTCCCACAACTGTGTGGACTCTCATTAATAAGTGGCAGAGCTGCCATATGTCGAGTATGCACACAGGTGCTAAGTGTGCAGAGGACAGTTCCCCCTACACCACCACTCAAAAGAAAGTATGGTTTTTATTGAAATTTGAATTTATGGAAACATGAAGCTACTATGTTTTCTACTTTTGCTGGAAATTGGAAAACTAGAACCAAAATCAAGCATACGGAAATTGAGTATTTTTAAGCCACTTATCTAAGAGTTTCTGACCAGTTATCTGGATTTTAAAAACATTCTCCCCTCAATTTTAAATTTCTCTATTGAGCATTTATCCAATTTCCTTACTGAGTAATCTCTATTTCATCTTATAGAATCAAACCTATTTTATCACATCCAAATGATAATGAAACCCAGTGCTTATGCATCAACTACATCTTATTTTAATACTTAAAAACATATGTAAACATGCTTTCTGCAAAGAAAGATACATCTCCAAAAAAAAAAAAAAAAAAAGGAAAGTCAGCTGGTTGAACAAATATTAGGCAAGGCATTTTTACTCTCTCCAACGTATATACAATTCTGAACATTTGAGATTATTCCATTGTTTAATGATATTGACACACTTATAGAATATAAATAACCTGTCTGAAATTACACAACCAATAAATGTCAGAGCTAAAAGGAAAATTCAGATCCAACCCCCTCGATATTTCTAACATGCTGCCCTGACTCTATATTTTATAATCATAAAATACGAAAAGCAAACCACTTATTCACACTAACCCATCTTCTAACAATTGCTGGATACTGGCAACTATATATAACTCATGTATCTCTCCTATATCAGATAAAGGAGATGTGTTTTTATAATACAAATTTGCAAATATTATCTGTGAAAATAAAGATTTATATTTTTAAAAGGCAAATAATTTAGTGAATAAAGTGACTTTATTATTCTGAAAATTAAACTTAATAGAACACCCACATAAAGAAACTTAAAGAAAAGGAAATAAGGTAATAAATATTAATCTTCAAAAAGTAGTCTATAAGGTTCCAATGCCTGTAGTTTTTTCTGTAAAGCTCACATGTGACTCACTGTTTACATATCATGAAAATGAAAGGATTCTGGGAAAGAAAGACATAACTGGGTGGCACAAATAATGTTTCTGATCAAAAACAAAACAAAATAAAAAACCAATAAGTAGGCAAGATAAATGTGATCTTTCTTCTTAATAAACAAACAACAGCACTCCCCAAATACACCTCTCTAAATAGAAAAGCAATTGTTTTTCAAAAATCCTGGTCTGATCTAGATACAAATATTAAGAGGGCTAAAACATTATGAATAAATTATATACTGAATTTTTTTTTGGACAGCAGCATAATTGCACATGTTTGTATAGTTTGCTACTGTTCAGCTTCTCACTGTTCTTTTGTAAAAAAAAAAAAAAAAAGAAAGAAATATAGAAAATAGAGAATGATGATGGTTTGCCTTTAATTTTCATGGAAACTAACATATGGCTGTAGGACATGAAGACAGAAGTATAAATATATAGTTTATATAACAAAGATCATTTTATTTAAATTCCCATTCCTTTTCCTAAGAACATTAAAACAAAGATTAAAAAAATCTATTAGAAGATTTCCTACTTTGTATTTCTACTTGTTACAAGTATTAATTTGTCAAAATGGATTTAAAGATTGCCTGATTCTTAAATGTCCTTATTAAGGTTTTCAAAACACATTTTGAGCCCAAGAACTTACAGTCCAGTTTAGTGTCTTCCATGCTAAAATCCTTCTTTCTTGAATATCCTGCAACATATCTGCATGTCTTCCTCTTCTTGCTTTGCGTCCTCAGCCAGGCAAAGACCAAATATCAGTGAAGGGGCAGTTTAATCATGCCAAGTATTATCTCTCACACAGCGTGAGGTAGCTCAGAAGAAGAGCAAAGGGTGGTGAGACATACAACTCGACAGCCACTGTTTTTAAACAGTAACCGTGTTCACTGAACCAAGCACAAACTGAGAAAGGCTTCTGTTCAAAAAAGCCAGTGAAGCTCAAATGGCTATGGGCTGGGAGTAGGGGAGGCTTTTCCTGGTTAAGAAATGGTTGCTAAACATCAGCTCGGTCTCAGGGATTCAAACTCAGAGGCCCCAAACAGAATGCACATTAAACATACACTAAAAACTTAATTGTTTACCCAAATCATCTAAATGTTACATATAATTCTCCAGACTCTCTGTCTTTGGGTTTTCTGATGCATTAACAATGACATTTAAAACTCTGAAGGTTATGGCTGATTTTGTTCCCATACCAAAAGCATCTGAAAAAAGCGATCGTTTAAAATCAGTCAGGCAGAGTGACCTCTGTTCTCCCTTCACTGCTGAGAACTGACATGGAGTCACTGAGAAAGTGTATGGAATGACATTTAGTTGCCCTGTTCAGAAGGTCCAAAAACTTGACTTGCTTTAGCAAGTTTTTAATAATTATGAAGGATTTCACAGCAGAGAGGAAGAAACAGTGAATTCAAATGCTAAAGTAATAGAAGTTATTTCTATATGCATTAAACATTGGTCCTCAGAGTTTATCTTTTTTTAGTCAGTGATATATTGCATTGTAAACTGTGAACTCAACATGTCTGCCACACTTTTGACTTAGAATTATCTTTAAAAGGGCTTTTTGTTTAGGGTTATAGAGTGGGAACCGAGGAGAAAGGATCACGTTAAACCCTTGCCTAGCCCTCACAGCATTGAAAAACATGTGACTTGGGGACCAGAAAACTTTGATTAAAACCAATTACCTTAATGAGTTTGGGTGAGCAGTGGGCCCACTGTGAAAAATTTTTGGATGAAAATAAAACCTTCCAAGCCCCTCTGAACTAGCCCCTTCGAGAATTTGGATCTGACCCAATAGAGATTGGCCACTCATGGTTTCTAAGATGTGTGAGAGTCAAGCACGTGCACTGGACTTGGCAACTAACCTTGTTAATACCCTTGGAACTACAGACTCCTTAGGAGGAGCCAGTGGAGTGCCAGTTCCAACTCAGCATCACTCCTACAGCCCCAGAGACCCAGCATCAGAATGTATGATCACCACTCCCCACCTACTCCATTTTCAAAAGTAGCCTATATAGACACGGGCAACACATTGTGGGCGAAGCTTCTCCATCTTGGTAATACCTTTTTTCCTCTCTTAAGGTACTGATACTGACATTTTAGACTGGATAATTCCTTGTTGTGGATGGCAGCTGAAACTTATTGATCATCTATTATGTGTCAGATATTATTCTAAGGGCTTTTACACATATGAACCGGTCTAATCTCACAACAACCCTCTTATGACACCAGTTTTACGGATGAAGAAACTGAGATGCAGAAGAACTGCTGAAGATGATTAAGTGACAGACTCTTAATTCCTATACAGATGCTGCTCGACTTACAATGGGGTTATGTGCTGATAAGCCCATTGTAAGTTAAAAATATCCTAAGTTGAAAAAGCACTTAATACACTTAACCTACTGAATATTATAGCTTAGCCTAGCCTACCTTAAATGTGCTAAGAACATTGACAAGAAGCTATAATTGGCAAAACCATTTAACACACAGGTTATTTTGTAATACAGTGTTGAATATCTCATGTAATTTATTGAATACTATACCCAAAATGAAAAACACAATTGTTGTATGGGTACTCAAAGTGTGTTTTCTACTGAATGCATATCCCTTTCACACCATCATAAAGCTGAAGACTCCTGAGCTAGGAATGGCTGCACTATGTTCCACTGCAGCATCTACCTTCCCTCTAAGTAAGGAGGTGACTTCTCACTTACGAGCAACAAAGGCATTCTGGCCAGTGCTGCCTGCTGATGGGAAATGACTGGTACCATAAGTAGAGAAGAAAGGCAGGGAAAAACAGAGGACATTGTGTGGAGACAATGTACTACTCTTCCCTTAGGAAAAAGAGTTGTTGTTTTTTTTTAACTAATGGTGATGAATTCATCCAGAAAAACAGCTGAATGCCAAGAAGAGAGAAAAGAATTAAGGGTTTTGTATATGACAAGTGGCTCAAGCCAATTTCTCTGTCCCAGTGCATGGAGCAGTGGGTGCTATCAATTATGCATTATCTTAAACTGTACACTGCACGGCCACTGTCATAGAAAGAGGCATGATCCTAAATCCACACATCTTTTCTCAAGACTAAGGCATCAGCTTATCTCTACTTTTGGTTTCATTCTCCTTTTTTTCTTTCTTTCCCTCCCTCCCTGCCTTTCTTTCCTTCCTTCCTTCCTGCTTTCTTTCTTGCTTGCTTGCTTTCTCTTTCTCTTTTCTTTCTCTCTTTCTTTCTTTGAAGGTCTCATTCTGCCACCCAGGCTGGAGTGCAGTGGTGTGATCAAGTGATCCTCCCACCTCAGCCTCCTGAGTAGCTGGGACCACAGGTGCATGCCACCATGCCCAGTTTTTTGTTTTTTTTTTTTGTAGAGAAGGGGTTTCACCATGTTGCCCAGGCTGGTCTCAAACTCCTGGCTCAAGTGATCCTCCCGTGTCAGCCTCCCAAAGTGCTGGGATTACAGGTGTGAGCCTGGCCTGGTTTCATTTTCAATATATTGTATAGCAAAGCTACATCAGTGCTGGACACTAGCAGATGGATGAAGCCCAAATTGCTAACGTACAATTTAATGTAAAGAAATGGAAATCAAGGGTAAATAAAAATTTGTTCAAGTCAAGATCACACCATAATCCCTAACAAATATAAAATATAATAAACATTTTTTAAATGGGAGCTGGTGAATTATAAACTTGACTACAGAGGAGTTTGGGGAAAATTCTGAGGAGCCACGTCCTCCCTTTTTGCGCACTGATTCATTTCCTGTTCACCGCCTACCTGCTTTCTTTAGAGTCGTTCTAACCCTGCTCTCTGGTCAATTTCATGATTCACCAGCTCCTTCCTCCAATCTTAAGTCTACGCTGCTACCCTGAAAACTGAAGAAAGCCTTGTCTTACCCTGGTAACACGTGGAGGCTGCTCACATCCTTTCTGATTCTCTCTCATCAAATCTGCAATCTGACACCTTGCTCGGCTTGGTTCTTTCCTCTTTCCTGTTTCTCCCTCTTAACTTTTTGGCTACTAATAGAGAAACTAGTTTTTGTAAAACAGGAACTTTGAAGTTGCAGCAAGAATTCCGTAAGGTTGAGATATCTAATAGCATTCCTGCTTATTGTCTCCACCCCAGCTTTCCTGAGGTATAACTGGCAAATAAGAATTGTATATATTTAAGGCGTACAACATAAGGAAGTGCTCTAACTGTACACTACGAAATGATTACCATAATCAAGTTAATTAACACTTCCATCACTACTCATAGTTATCATTTTGTGTTTGTGGTAAGATCACAAGATGTACTCTCTTAGCAAATTCAAAGCATAAAACATAATATTGTTAATGATAGTCACCATGCTGCACAGTAGGCCTCCAGAATTTAGTCGTCCTACCAGAGATTTTGTACCCTTTGGCCAACATCTCATTTTCCCCACCCTCCTCTGCTTGCTTTTAACAACGCTTTATTCCACAGAGAATTGCGTCCTCCTGCATTCTTTTGTATTCCTTAGACCACATCAGAAGTGGTAGTAGCGGAGGGGGGGTATGTGTGTGTGTGTGCGTGCGTGTGTTTTCGTGTATGTGTGACAGTGAATATATAAATGAAAAGATGAGGCCAGGCATGGTGGCTCATGCCTGTAATCCGAGCACTTTGGGAGGCTGAGGTGGTTGGATCACTTGACGTCAGGAATTCGAGTCTAGCCTGGCCAACACAGTGAAACCCCATCTCTACTAAAAATACAAAAAATTAGCCAGGCGTGGTGGCAGGTGCCTGTAATCTCAGCTATTTGGGAGGCTAAGGGAGGAGAATCGCTTCAACCCGGGAGGCGGAGGTTGCAGTGAGCCAAGGTTGCGCCACTGCACTCCAGCCTGGGCAACAAGAGCGAGACTCTGTCTCAAAAAAAGAAAGATGAAGATCTAGTTGTTCTACCAGATAACTGAAAGCATATGGATAGGCTAAGCACTTTGTCTGAAAAAAAGAAAAATTGCACTTACGGTGCATTCTCATTATTTACATCATTATTTTTTCTTGCAGACTTTCATAATTTTACACTAGAATCACATACACTAAATTTCATTATCATAATTATCAAAATGGTACAGTTTAAACTCTTGGTGTTTGGTAGAATTGTGTTTATCTAACATAAATGCTGAGGAGCTTGGCTACTGCTATTTTAAGAGGGAAATGCTGAGAAACAGATTTCACTTATGTTTTATTTATGGTTACAGAAAAGTAAAAGCAGCGATTCATTTTATAAAGAAGTTTGTGCTATTTTCCTGAAAGCTAAAAGCACACACATAGTATACATTATTAAAGGACCCAGGTCACCCACTATTATTTGCTGCAAGCTGGTTTTGTTCATGGTGAGTCTTACTTAAACACATCTGAATTGTTTCAAATCCCAATGGCAACCCAGGGGTACTGCAGCACATCATGTGCTTTGGACTCCCTTCTTAATCATAGTTCTTGATTTTCCATTGCTTTTGTGTTCAAAAAGTAACAGGTGGAGCCTAGGCAACATAGTGAAACCACCATCCCTAAAAAACACATTTTTAAAATAATGGAAATGAGAAATTGGTAAAAATAGGTGGAGCTTTGGGGGGTGTACTGTTTGTTTTTAACATTTACAATGTAATCTGGCACTTGGGTTTTACTTTCCATCTCAACAGTAATCTTATTCTCTTTTCTTTCTCCTTTAGAGAGTCTCTAGAGGATACATTCTTCAAGATGCTGGAAAAGGAAGTTGCTGGGGTGTATTTTTTAGCCCCAGTTTTATAGTACCTTGGACAGTGACAAAAGCCACCCATGCTGTTTATTTAGGAGATACTCGCTCGATTCAGTTACAGATACACCCTGCATGTGATTGTTTCTCAAAATCTGAATTTACATTACCCTGGAATCTTGCACGCAGTCCTCAACTGCAGAGACACCTAAACTTCACAAAAGCAGACAAAACTATAACAAGAGATGCTTTTATTTTCTATATTAATACTTTTCTACTCTGCCTGTAATCAAGCCTTCCCACTCTTCTTCCTATACTTACTACAGGCATATCACCAGCTACGACGGGCTTTCCTGTGGCACTTGTGAGACTCATACTGGTTTAAGGATAATTACAATGAAGTCACTTTTAAATGTTTATGACTGAAGCAAAAGTTCTTATGGAATATTTCAGCAAAATCAGGTTGCCCAGTCTGGAT